TCCCCTCTAAAATAGTGTGGGTATGAGAGACAGGGCACTCTTTTCAGAGAAATGGTTTTTTTTGGGCGAAGACTTGAGTTTCCCCGGAAGAATTCAGAAAGTTAATGGGAAGATGGCAGGGTGCTCGTAGTAAGAATGTGAAAGATCCGAGAGGGATCGATTCGCAACAAATTTTGGCCCAGTGCCATAACGTGCCCAGATGGGGTTTGGGTAATGTAGAGAAAAATAAAAGTCCATGGAAAAGGTATACAACCCTTTTGAACAATTTTCCATCTTCTAGAAGGTCAGATGAGACAATTTTTGGCTAGGAAAAAACCAGTTTGGATGCTTGAGGAGAGGGCGCTGGGCATAAGAAGTCTGGTGGGCGCCAACGTCAACATATTAGTCATTTATTACATTTCCAATAGGTTTCCCTTTTTGTTTTCTCGTCATTGTCACTTCTCCTGACTTTGAGATATCCCGGGGAGCCAAATATAATGCAAAAAAATTTTTGAACGGCTGCTTGCTAGCAAACTCAGATAAATTTCCGTGCTCGAGGCGTTTCATATTCGGAAACCAGTAGCGAAAAAAAAACATGGAACATGCTGAGTGCTTTTCGGAATTTTGATGAGTTTCTTTATTTAAGAATTTTCAAAACAGCTTGTAATCCAAGGGCACTGAAACTTTTTACCTGTAGAAATAGGACCTTCATAAACATTTCATAGAAACTCCTGACCAGTTCGGTTTGATGGGGCATTTGGATGGTTCCCATCAATCACTGTCGGAGGCCTGTGAAGGCCTGTAAACTGCAAAGCTATGCGGTAGCGTTAGCTTCGTTTACATTCGACGAAAAATCTACAGGTCTTACCAAGATAACCTCCCCCTTAGCCAACCACCGCTGAAAATCCTGTAAAAGACTCGAAATTGCGATACATGGCTTGTTCCAGGTTTTTCTTCCGCTATTGTACGTATTGTTTGGAGAGGACAAAAAGTGTACTAATTATTGACTTTGAGACAAAATCTTGTAAAATGGTTCGCCGTAAAATCCCATTTGATCTCCACTATCACTGAAATGCTGTACATTCACGGCCGCAGATTGTCAATGTTCTTTATTTGGTCAGCACCAAACAATCGTTAGTAGTTGTTGCACTAGCATGGTATACAATGCATGTTATTCGTGGTGCGTTAGACCAGTCCAATGGACCAAGTGGGGTGCAGTGGAACTTCGGCCCTACCGGACGACGATGGCAACTGTGCAAGGAATGTCGGGCAAGCGGTGGACCTCCTCTTGTCGGCCAATAGCTGTGTTTACTATTCCTTTCCTGTACTTTTCTTCCTATTTTTCTTGTCTGTCAAAGTGTGTAGTGATGGTAAGGAATGCCACCGTGTAGGGAAAGTGTTTGTGGGTGTGTGTGTTGTCTCTATGCATACGCACACTCACATACATGCCTGCACTTCTTTCCTTTATGAATTGACACATGCTGTCACACACACTGTCTATCCACACGTAGTTTTAGCTTCTCGTCGTTTCAGGTGATGCCGTCCAGGAAACCGATGAAGGCACCGCTCAGGCATTACTGGGTGAGTTGTCCGTTTTTCTTGTCCCTAAAGATGTGGGTTACTCTCAGACCAGGTTATTCTTCTCTCTCTCCATAGAGAACAAACATTTCAAGATGACAGTAGAGACCAGGTCGAGAGTAAAGTCCCACCCCAATTATGAATGCTTGTATTGTTTTCATTTCGATGGTTGACCCTATTCCTTCATCCTTATCTTTAACGTCGTCGTGGTTTCGTCATACCTTACCCATTTGGGAAGCATAAATCGACGATGACACGGCGTTCATTGAGACTGCTTCCGTTCTTTGTGATGCGGTTCGTGTCGTAGTGGTGTGCTCTTCCATACTGCACTGCGACGTGTACATGCGCAGCACATAATTTCTACTCTTTTTGTGTTCTTTCTATATGTCTTTCACTTCTGACTCTGGTTTAAATTGGTGTCCTTGGTCTGTCTTATGATTCAGTGTCCAAATGTCTTGTGGCTTCTGTGACTAAATGTTGATATATCCATATACAACCGTTATAAGGCTCCATCATATCAGCTTCTCTCATCGTTTCTTCGATTTCTTTTTTCATGGGGGAACAGGAAGTAAACCTCCATATTCTAAAGATGGGGAGGGCAAGGGATGCGTACTTCATCTGAATAGGACGGGTAGCATGACGGTCTCTGGAATAGAAGTATTCTACAAAAAGCGTATTCTACCCCCGTGTGGAATTGAGGTACGTAGGCACGCCCTCCCCGTCTCCAGGAAATAGAGTATATCTGACAATTGAAGATGGTCACCGCTTAGTTTCTTGTTTCTTTGCTATCGCTGGCTTAGGAAAGATTGATTTATGCGGTTTTAGGAAATTGATGGAAGTCACTGAACATTCTTTACAGTTCTGCTGTTTCAGATGTTAAGGCTGATGGAGCTGATGGTGTGGCGAATGGCAAAGTGGTGGCCGAGGAGAATGGCAAAAAAGAACGTTCAGTTTTACAAGCCAAGCTCACTCGACTGGCCATCCAGATCGGTTATGCGGGTGAGCATCATTTACATGCATCTGTTAATTCATGAATCAACATTAGGGGGGGGGGATTGGTGAGGGGATTGAGTGCAGAAGACAGAATGCAAGCGTAAGCAGTTCTGGAACTTATTCGATTTCCTCGCGGAAATGAAGTGTGCACTTGGTGATGTAATCCAGTCGTTGAGAGTTCCTTTGAGGAAATGCGATTACGGTTATACCCACACGAGCCCTTTTTTAGCATCATCCTTAATGACAGCCATCTTTGGAAGAGCTTTCCACGAAATTCCATCCAAATATTAGTTTAAATCATGGAAGATGGAGCCACATTATTGGGTGAAAAATCAACAAATGGTTTTTATCAAAGGGAGTATAGAACTTGGGACAGTCTTGTTCTGGACATATGGTTCCGAATTCTTTCAAATGAAGCTTGTGTAGGATCTCCACCCAATGGGTGAAAGCGTAACGGGTGAGCCACGTTTTAAGACAACCCACAGTCCTTCTCCCAGTGTCCCCTCTCCTGTGATTTGGGTAAGGGAGGGCAGAGAGGCCACGAAGACAGTGCTGATTTCAGAATTCAGTCAATAATTCTCCAACCATGTCTGGTTAGGCCTTGATTACGGTCGTTTTTTTGCAGCAATCGCTGAAGAAGGGGGGGGGGGGTGCAAGGGGGATGGTGCGGCGCCAGCCATCGCCAGTTGTTGTCATGTCACTCTTGCCACTTCAAAACTTAGTGGAAAACGGGCTGGCGCCGCGTCGAACCTAGACCTCCAACTGGCCTCAGCGTCAGCGGTGAAACGGCTGCACCACATAATCAATCCCTTTTCGCGATGCACCATACATTCTATTTCTATGCGGACTAGAGGCATTTTGGTACGATTCACTCCATGGAATGACTTCAGAACCAGCCGATAGTACCAGTAAATGGGTTCCAGAGTAAGGAATGCCTGTTTGGCCAGGGAGGGAGCAAACTGAAGACTGGATCCTTGGGTGGTGGGCATGATGAACGTTGCCGTTTGCCACTTTATCACACGTATCAAAAAATTCCGAAGAGGTTAGGGGAAGTGACCAAGTTTTTATAATGTACATTTCAGGATCATTCGTTGCTGGTTGCACAGTTTTAATCCTTGTCATTCGGTTCTGCATTTCACGATACGCCATCGAAGAGAAGTCGTTCTCGTTGGCTGACTTCCAACACTTCATCAACTTCCTCATCATTGGTGTCACAGTGCTTGTGGTTGCTGTTCCTGAAGGATTGCCGTTGGCTGTGACGCTTTCACTTGCGTACTCTGTCAAAAAGGTTAGTTCAAAGCCTGTTTTTCTTCCTCCAGAGGTTCTCGGCCGCTTCCTTGCATGGTCGGCATGAAAAGACGCATCAGTTATGGCACGCCAGTGATCCCAGCATTATTACATCCGTTACCACCAAAATCAGTCGGGGTGTGCTAGCATTGTGTGGGTCTTCACGCGGCGTCAATCCTTTCAAAACCACGCTTTGAACGTCCGAAGCCGCAAAGATTGATGGGGTAAAGGCTGAAGACTGGATCCTTGGGTGGTGGGCATGATGAACGTTGCCGTTTGCCACTTTATCACACGTATCAAAAAATTCCGAAGAGGTTAGGGGA